TTGTATAGCAGTCCTCTGTATTCCACTATCTCAATAGTGAAATTCCTGCAGTTTCGTGAGTGTAAGTAAATTATCGAACCGCATAAAATCTGTGTGTCTTGTTCTTTTCTTACTTCTCATTGTTTTAAACTTTTTTGGTTTGTTCTTTGATTATGTGTGTTTGTTTGTTTGTTTAAAGCGCATTGGATCCCAACACTTAATTACCTGATAAATCTTTTATAAAGAATAGATTAGAAGTTCGAATATCCTACGAAACGTAATTCTTTGAGGTCATTGTTCATAAATTTACCTTTTTCTATTTCTATGCAAAGTCGATTTTATACAAAATTTAACATTAATCTTATACTTGAACATGATAATACTGTGCTCATACATTGGAACAGTTTGGATATCAAACTGATATGTTGTGTCGTGTTATTTTAATTTATGTTATATTTGTATTAATGTTTGTGTCAATTAAAACCTATTTAATTTTAAAAAACCTCATGTAAACATAATTCTCCGGTTCCTAAATATCTGTCGTTTAAGATTTTTCCACTGAAATTAAAGAAGTTATTAAATAGCTGTACTATGAGTAAAAAATAATTACACAAGACTACAATATCCTTATTCAATACGTATTGAAAAATAAATGAATATGAAAGACACTTAGCCTCCATCTAATCTAATGCATTGAAAAGTTAAGGGTAAATTTAGAAGAAAAAATATTAATTATGTTTTGGTTTCATTAAACGACAGATATTATGAAATAAAAAAAAAATTGTGTAAAACGACAGATATTTAGGAACGGAGGGAGTATGATAGAAATTAATAATTTTATATTTTTTATATATAATATTAATTAATTATATTATTTATTGATAAAATTAATGTTAGCTAGCAGTTAGCAGTAGTATCTTTATCCAAGTATGGTCCACATATATCATCCTCAATGAATCCCTCCACCCAGCACTTAATAGCTACGGTACAGTATGGTCCACACCTAATTAATGCCTTATTTTATTAGGCTAAAATGCGTAAAACAGTAAGTATTTTAGTGTAGCACTCGTTTTGGTCAAAAAAAAAAAAAAGTGTAGCACTCGTTGGTCCAACCATTGCTAAGCCCGATGGATGATTCGGACCCACTTACTTGACCTGGGGATCCACTTACTCGTCTAGTAAGATTTGAGGATTACAAATTTACAATGGACCTTACAAACATCACATCATTCTGGTGCTGTGTATGAATTATTGGTCACGGGACACCCCAACTTCAACGATCCATTGATGACAAGTTTCTTTTAATGTTTGAGAAAGACCCTTCTTTGTATATGTGGCTATTTTGTCGGATAAGTTCTATATCTATTTCAAGTGAAAAGGATTAAAAATAAATAATTTTACTTTTTTTTTTATAATAAAAGGAGAAGAAGAATGAATGAACATAGATAAACGGATTATAAACTGCTTATGGATAGACATTGGGTGGCCAATAATCAACCATTCTATTAAATAAAAAATAGGGATTTAGAGGACGGTCTCTAAGTCCAATAAGATTTCAAAAAAAATTTACTCTGCCAATTTTCTTTTGAATTACGTCATGTTGAAAAATTAAAGCAATTGACATAACTAATGTCATTTAGAAATTGTAAAAAATAATGACTATGTCATCACTTTAATTTAAACACCTATTTTAAAAAGTTATATTATCATACTGTACATTTTTTTTTCATAAACACAAATCGTAAGATAGGTTCGCTGAATATATATATATAGTCAAAAAATACAAGTACGTAAATAAAGAAAATAAAAAATAATAAGTACGCAATAATCGTCAAACTGCTACACTAAAACACAGATCGTTAGATAAGTACATTAAAACACAAATTGTCAAACAGATGCACAAAAACACAGATCATTAATGTACATTCTTTTCCATAAACACAGATCATTAGACATGTACACTAAAACACAAATTCTCAGACGTCATCATAATGTCCAAATTGTTTGGAAAACGAGTTTGAATTTCAAAATTGATAGACAACATTGTAAAAATTTCAATAACAAACGTAAAAAAAAATTATATTTTAATTTAAAATCATGTAATGAGGGTAAAATGGGTAATAAAAATTAGTAATTAACTAATTCCTTAACATTCACGTTAACACAAGAATCACATACAAATTTTTTTTAAAAAATTGAAGGACTTATTTTTATATTAAAAATTTGATAATATTAAAATTAGTTTATACGCCAAAAGGGAGACCCTAACCTAATTAACTAACAAAAAAATGTCTAATCAGGGTGGGTCATAACTCACTTGTTCGTATGGCCCATGACACTCTGCATTGGGGCACTTGAGTATTGGGAATTATTAATAAATGGTATTAGACGGCATATCAATCAAGTTTACAAGTTGGGGTGTCAAGCTTAGACTCGTCGACACCATATAATTTTAAAATTAACATAATTATCTAAATTATCATTTTATATTTAGAATATATTAAATAATTCATAAATTTTGACACAGATAATAATAACATGTCACAAAAATATTGACATATAGATCACACGATACAACAGACACAAATAGACACACTTATAGTACAATTGATCTTGCCTTTTCAATATGTATCAAATCCAAAAATTGAAATTCTAGTAGTATTTTTTAGTTTGAGAATTTAATTTAATATGATTATCGGATTAATAGTCAATTTTAACATTGAATATTGAATAAAATTTAATATCAGCTCTCAATATCTTAGATCTTTAAATTAGGTACCAAGAGTATTATTGAACACATTGGTATTTTTCATACTTAGATTAGACTTGCACAAAAAAATTATTTGAATCGTACATCTAAATGTCGACTATTCAATTTTTTTTTTTTGAGTCCAAGTTAAATCTTTATAACTCGTTCAAAACCAAGGCAACCGCGTCACCACCGAGTGGGGTGGTCCAACGGAGTATCAGTCAAAGTTTTTATTCTGAGGTTGAAGGTTTACACCTTAAAGTCCACATTGAGATTTAGTAGTTGACTGTTATGTTAACATAATTAGGTTCATTTTTTAGAAGAGTAATAGACGCAGTTAAAGGCCTTATAATCTCACCAATGAAGGTCAATCGGGTATAATTTATTTCAATCGATCTTTTTTTTATCAAGATTAACCAATAAGTGAGACAAAATAACAAATAATCTTCATGAAATCTATTTCATTTAATGATTAATTTTAATAAAATTTGTCTCATCTAACAATTAATATTAATATAATATAATTTGTCTTACTTATCAATTAATCTTAACGAGAATGATCAATGAAAATAGAAAAATAACAAATAATCTTATCATTTAATGATTAATTTTAATTAAATTTGTCTCATTTAACGGTTAATATTGATAGAGTCTTCTGTCTCACTTATCAGTTAAACTCAATGAAAAAAAAAAATCGATCAAAATAAATTATATAGTTTAGAGGGTAAATTATGATAATTAAAAGTTGGAGGGGCAATTTAAAAGAAGAGCTATAGTTCAAAGGGTATTTATGATATTTACCCTTCCACAAACAAACAACCCAGATAGGACCAAAAGCACCCAAAAAAATAAATAAAATTATTAAGCGTAACTGCCACGATGCATCTGCATTTGCTCGTGGTTTATCCGTTACGCTCAATATTTACTCGAAAAACACCCACACGTGGCAGTAACATCAGCAGATCAGGTGCTTGAGTCAGAGTTATCTCAGCCTTAGCTCAGTTCATAAAAAATAATGTCATATAGATTTAAAAATTAAATTTAAAAAATAAAATTGATAATTATATTTTTTAAATAGGTAATAAATTTTAATAAATGCTGAGACTCATAATAAAATTAATAATTATAATTATCAAATCTAATTTTTAATTCTAATTTTTAAGTCCATGTAGCATTGTTTGTCCAAAAAAAAAAATACTATATAACTCAAATTTATAATTTAAATTTATATTCTAAATAAAGAAGACCAATGAATCAGTGGGTCCTATTAACTTTTTTAAATAGAACTCACTGATTTAATGATCTCTTTTAATTTGAGGTACAAATTTGAATTACATAGCATTCTTCGTCCAAAACAGTCAGATGCTTTAGAATATACCCTTCCAACCCCCCC